GAAGTAATTTTTGAAAAAAAACCAAACATTATGGACACTACAAATATTTACACAAAGTTTTCAAAGTTGCGAAAAATTACTTAATTACGAAATTTTCTGTTACGCGAGTGAAAAACGATTCGACGAATTTGTTTCTCTTTTTATCCACATTGCTAATATTTCGCTATTGAATACATGATGCTTATATTTCTACGAATAAATACCATGTATTCACGTCGTGATTCACGTGAGTGAGAAGCTCTTCTTCATTATGGGTATCGCAAGAAAGAAAAGTAAAAAAAAATGATGGCCAAGTGCAAATGTATAGATTGTATAGAAATTATAGATTGTATATATATTATAGATGATATACATATGTATTCTACAGATTGTATAGATATACTGAGGGAACATTAGAACAAGAAACTAGATTGAAAACGCCTCAATTTCGTTGCATTCCGTTCCGTTCATGAATGGAGAAATGCATATTTGGAAAAGTTATAGCCTGAATACAATAATATTTCAAGGCTAACCAAAAGAAACGTTTTTAAAGTTGGAATTTTGTTTGGTTAAATCAAGTATTGTTGATGCAGAGAGATAATGCTCGTACCTACAAATTGAACACAAATAATTTTGTAAAAACATTTTTCAAAATAGTTTTCAGAGTTTTAAGAGAGAAAGGTAGCAAATTTTAAATCGTGGTAGACCGAGCCTGCATTAAACGAGGACTAAGTGTGTTTTTAATACATACTATACTTCAATTGAATTCAATTACAGACATGATTTAAGATCATTCCTTACTGAAGTTGAATGGAAACATTAACATTGGCGATATGACCCAAATAGTTTTTGATACTGTCTTTTTTTTTTTGTGTAACCATGCTTGACTTTCTGGATCTCCTGTGACGAATGCGGGAATCCAAAGCGGGTGCAAATCTTAGTTTTTAATAATTGTAATCTATGAGATATATACCCCCTACACATGTCGATACAGACAAGTACATATGTATATGGGTCGTCCATCTCTAGAGTCACACTCGCATAGTAGGGTCATTCACAGGTTCACTGTGCAGCTAACCTCTTTGTTGCGAGTAGTTTTCGAATTATGTTATCAAATTGTCAGTCTGTGTGTGCGTGTGTGTGTGTGAGCGTGCGTGTGTGGCACCTGCAACTGTTTGGGTGCTCCACTTGCCTCTTTGACACCTGCCACCTGCAACTGCTGCTGCCTGCTCACTCATTTCGAATAATTTGAGAGCGTTGACGCAATAAATTAAAAGAAAGTGGCTTTCTGTTTTAACGTTCCGACTACAAAAGAGAAGCCAGCCAGACAGCCAGACAGCCGGACAGCCAGCCAAGCAGTCGGCACAGTCGACGCCCCATCAGCGTTCCCCCTCAGCACGCCTTCCACCGCTTCTTCGCCTACTTTCAATTAATTTGTCTTTTTGTGACTTTTGATGTGCTTGCTGCTATTGCCATTGCCGTTGTTGTTGTTTTTGTTTTTGTTGTGCTATTTGTGTATTTTGTGTGCGGAAGTGGCAAGTTATTGTAGAATGGGTTTGTTATGGGACCTGTCGCAAAGCGCTGAAGTGCCTGGGTGAGTGCCTGCATGAGCGGGCGAGTCATAGACCTGCTACGACCTGGTTTCGTATTTAGCAAGTCTTTTTATTATACTTGTACTCTCTCCATGAAATGTAGAAGAGCATATTAGGTTTGAGCGGGCTGAAAAATGTAACAGGTATACAAAGTATATGTACAAGTATATATTCTTGATCAGCATGACAAGATGAGTCGATATATGTCTGTCTGTCCGTCCGTCTGTATGAACACCTGGATCTCAGAGACTATAAGAGCTAGAGACACCAAATTTCCCACAAAGATGCCTTATGTACAAGTTTGTTTGTTGGGGAATTTCTCTCCCTCCCACCTCTCTCCGCAATCACAGATTTTCCGTAGCTTCCGTAATTCTAAAATTTGGAAAATACTTCCAGTTAGTTGATATGAGTTCGTATGCTTTCATTATGAAAGGCCGATTTAACAGCCATATATATAATCTCAGGCCAAGTACTGCCCGCAGCTGTTGTTGTTGCTGCTGCTTTCCACAGGCACACACAAACACGCAGAGACACGCATAATTATATGTACAGAGTATTTCAAAGTCGGGACACCCGACTTTAGCTTTTCCACTTGTTTTTCCAACTTGCCTTGAACTATTTTGGTCTACATACTCGCATGTATGTGCGGTTTTTTTGTGTCACTTGTTACTATCATAATGCCGCGGCATGCGGGCAAGGTAGAAGGTAGTGCTTCGTCTATTTTTGAAAACCTTGCACTGCAGGTGATATTAAATTTTTGGCTGTCATTAAGAAAATGTAGATGAGCAGATGATTCTAGGTAAAGTACTTTTACTTATAATATAGCAACGAGTTAACCGAATTTTCGTTTTTGGAGAAGCTTAAGAAATGGGGAAATAAAAGAGAGAAAAAACGATAATATAATTAGGCAACTACCTGTGGATATCTATTTCAGCAATGGCAAATTGGCTTTTTAAACTCATAAGGTCACAGGAAGGTTTGTGCTAGTGGGTAGATCAGTTGCTAGCGCCTAGTAATGAATTTGTTTTTTATATCTGAAACTTATTAGCATAGATTTCAATTTTACAAATTGAATTGAAATTGAAATTGTATTTAAATATGTTATGTATCCACCAAATAATCATAAATAATACATAAGTATTTATAAAAAAAGAAGAGGGTATTTTGGAGTATTTAGTTTCGAGTTTTCCTTCATTTGATCTTATGAATTATATTTTTTTATTCGATCTTAATCAAAAGCTGTATTGTAGAACTACCGATCCGATTTCCTGTATCTGGTTTGATACATCTGTTTTAAAATATATATAAAAAACTCGGTATCTCCGCAACATTCTTAGCTCGTAGAGCAACCTTTACTAATCTAATTAAATGAAGATGGAAACGAAAAGGAAATTGACAAGCCTCTACCGATTTATCTAGGTTATAACAATAAGAAATGTTTTATTAGTTGCAAAGACTGTAAAGTAGCTCTGCCACTAATAAAAATGTTGACCGTCTCTTTATAGAAAAATTGGATTTGCATAGATATTATTAGATTCATATTTAAATGCGCTTCTGCGTCTGATCTTTGTGCGAATCTATGCGCAACCCAAATACGACAGCTGTGAACAAAACTTCCGTGACAAAATTGCAAAAGTTGTTTTGGGTGTTCATGGCTCCGATCTCATTTCTTTTGTTTTTATGCGATTGATTTGTATAGAGGAAAAATTTAAATTTATAGAGCGCCTAATATATTTGCACAACTTTGACACTAAAATGCGCATATATGAATAGTTCAGTAGGAAATTGCAATAAAATGTGTTTAACGAGCAGGTTTCCTATCACGTAGAAGTCACCTTGTTAATCAAAATTAGAATTACTGGTATATCGAAATAAATTGAAACATTTAACTGATTAAATGGCAAAGCAATATTTTCAGCAATCATTTCGAAATGTCCAATAAAATTCCATTGGCGCAGCATCTCGTTTACGAGTAAACGAGTTTATTTGATTAATTAGCATTGCCAGCTACAGTGATTTGCTTTCTTGTCTGCCGTCCATGCATGTGCAATAGGATATTAATCAATCTTTTAGAAAAGTCACTGACAACAAAGAATTTTCTTTTTTGTTATTTACATATATACTGCTACCAATATGGCAGCTTAAGCTAGTTGAAAATTAATGGGGAATACAACAGTTGTCTATAGTATGCAGCCATAGGACGCACTTATATCTATGTACATATATTTACAATATTTTAGATTTAATAGGATATACAAGTATATTGAAGATATTTTATTCTATATTTATATTACGCAAGGGATCTCGTGGGGAGATCCTTTGGATGGCACTTCTTCAGTCTTCTCTTCCTGGGTCTGGAGAGCAGCCGTCTCGCTAGTGCGTTGGGGTGACTGCCGAGTCGCTTCTCGTAATTGCTTGCGTGCACTTGAATGACATCGCCAACCTTGGGGACACATAAGTCTCTTTCGATGTCCCTAGTGCGCATATACCAGGGAGCGTTGCATATTTTTCTCGGTATTTTAGCTTGCGCAACTCATACTTTATTTAGGTTTGATGCAGCGGCAATGCCATAAATTGGTAGCGCATACTTCCATATTGGACTTAATATGGATTTGTATACTGTCACCTTACTGTGCAGAGACAGCTTGTTGCAGGGTGCAAGCAGCCATGCCATCTTTCCGGCTTTTGCCATGACCGATCGCTTGACCAGACAACAAAGAATACATTTAATTTTCTCATTTGATTATTTCCTCATCAGAATATTGTAAGATAAAACTGTTGCCTGCTTTGCAGCGTTTTAATAAGTATAGTAATTTAAAAGAGTTCGTGTCTTGAGTCTTTCGTTTGCTTAAACGAACCGGTTAGCTTGCAAAGCTGCTTTAAAAATTCAAAGCTGCCCTGCTAGCTTAAATGCGCATCTAAAAGTATGCAACACTTTTTAATGCAGCCTGTTGGTATGCAATACCATTGATCTCTACTACTTGGGTGTAAAGAGCCATGAATGAATGATTTTTTTGAGCGCTCTGTTTAGAGAAATTTAATTATCAATTATGCTGCTTACTGCCGCTATTCATGATTCAAATTCCTCCACTTATTTACATTTCACATGATTAATTAAATAAAAACCTTCTCCCACCTCGTCAACAGCCAACAAATAAATAAGATCGCATAAATCTAATCATGACTTTTTACGATGTTTTGATTTCGCATGGCAATAAAATGTTAGAAATCGCTCTCAATAACCTTACAAATAGCAGATTAAAGCAATTTGGGGTAAATATGCACATATTTCATCTGAAGATCAGCGAAGAATTATGTGTCCCTTGTGTCTCTTAATAACGATCTTTTGCACTCACACTTATAATAGATTTAAATAAGAAATACTATATTTCTTTATTTACAATTAATTTGTTTTCCTGTTGTTTACAGAACTATTCACGACTATGCACTGAGCCCAAATGTTCAGCCAAAGCATAACAAACTGAACAATCTTCATAGCCACAACATCATCAACAACAACAACAACAACAGCAGCAACAAAAACATCAACCACATAAATAATAGCAATTTTAACAAACATAATAACAACATCAACAGAATGCATGCCCATCAGTATGATTCATATCTAATTGGAGGCGTTGGTGGAGCCATCAACGGTCTGCCCATCAACATGCCCAGTTCCATGCATCCGGGGAATATTTCGGCTAGCGAAAGACCCAACGGAGGAGCATTGGCACTGCACTACGCAGCTGCCCGCGGCTGTTTGGACTGCGTACAGTTGCTGGTCGCTGCATCGGTAGATATTTGGTGAGTAGAATACACAACTCGACTACATAAGAAGCCCAAAACAAAGTCAACTTAGCCAGCTGGTCAACTTTTATCTCACATTCTAAAGATGTGTGAGGGGTAGATGAAGTAATACACTGTTTGAGTTGTTTACCTTAAATACTCGTATAAGAATGTTAGTGTGGAATTCGACTATTTTTTTTTTACAAATGAATTGTATAAAAACGGTTTTCCATTTTCGGAATCATATAAAAAATAATATATTGCTTAAATGCTTCATTTATTTACAAACTATTAATGCAACTAAATATATGTTTGTAGCTTAAGGCCCTGAGTCAACATTTGTTTGCTCATAAATAATAGAAAAGTGTTCGTACAATATATTAACTGTATGACAAGAACTGAACTCTAGGTTTCAACAATTTCTTGACATCAATATATAAGTAAATTTGATAATGTTTTGCATATCTAGGATCATGTGATTATTTTAAAAGCTCTGTATAATATTCTGCATTCAAGTAAGGAAATGAAAGAAGTTATATTTCTTTACCTGAAGCATAGATGGTTTTGAATGTTCAAGTTTCCGAAAATTTAATTCTTAACATCAATATATAATTAAATTTGATAATGTTTTGTATATCTGGGATCATGTGATTATTTTAAAAGCGTTGTATTCTATTTTGCATTCAAGTAAGGAAATGAGAGAAGTTATATTTCTGTACCTGAAGCATATATGGTTTTGAATGTTCAAGTTTCCGAAAATTCAAATCCTAACTAATTCTCAATAATTAAATGTGATATTGTTTTGTATATCTGTTAGTCATGTGATTATTTTAAAAGTGTTGTATTATTTTCTGTATTCAAAGAAGGAAGCATAGATGGTTTTGAATGTTCAAGTTTTCGAAAATTCAATTCGTGAGCGATACTTAAAAACGAAAAGCATGAACATGTCGGTCAGAAAGCTTTCCCAAATTCATCCTACCTGCGTTTTAAAAAATTGGCGGCGCTGCAACAAAAAAATATCAAAATGTCAGCAAATGATTGGAGCTCCCGAATTTCAATTTGTAACATTTCATTTAAATTCGACTTTGAGCGACCAATTTTGATTTCAAGATAACTGGAATTGATATCAAATATCAAATACGTTTTCCGCAAAAGTGTCTTTTTATTTTAGAACAGAGTTCTACTCATTGATGTTTGACAGAGATACCCATGAATACATATACATAGTATGTTTGTAAATATAGATGAGTAGCTAGTGTCCCAAAGAAAAGCACAAATCAATTTGCACGAAAGCAGATGAGAAATGAAAAGCAAAAGTCGCACAGAGCTTCGAGTCTAGCTCGCAAATCCGCCACCGAACATCAAACGACAAAATCTTGGGGTGAAAGCCAAGCCAAGTGGCTGGCCAAGATAAGCCAACCAGGCACATTGGTCGCTGGTGTGTGTTCTTTATTATTATTATCGTTAACTATTGCTTAATAGCAAAACAACAACAAAAAGTCGGCCACTCGCAGTAGCGACGTCATTTAAATGATCACAACAAATGGCGGCAACCAAGACTATTTCTCCCCATCCCGTGCAATCTCCAACTCACCTCACTTGCCACTCTAGACGCTGTGCGGCTCCAGCACTCTTTAGGCGACTGGAAGTGGTTACTGGTGGTGATGTGTCTCTTGAATGATTGCAAATTAGTTTGCGCGCTTCCTGCAACTCATTTGCTTGGATTTCTTTATACTCGTATGTATTTATAAATGTATATTTATTGGGTTTGTAGCGCTCGTTTAACAATTGATTGAGGTTTTATTGTCTCCAGCATTGTCGCTATTTAATTGATCGTGCAAGCTCGGTAAGAATGCCATTTGCAAAGTGCTTTCAAATTAAATTCAATGCGGAACTTTCCATGTACTACTTGAATATCTAAATGTTCATATAGTTTCTATTCAACTGTTTTGGAAACTATTTTGGAAAGAAGAAAATGATAAGATAATTTCAGTCTTGCGTGCAATATATAGTATATTAGTTTTCTAATTCCAAATCTTACCACGAATTCATTGAACATATCATTCTAAATTCATATAGTGTTCTTCTTCTACTTCTGTAGGGAATCGTTCAAAGTCTTTCATTTTTATAGGACAAATTCGTTTTCAATTTGAGGATTTTCAGCTTCAAATTCTCAATAATAGTATTTTAAAAGTTTTTATTTATTTTATAATATTAAATTAATTTTTTTTCTTTATTTAATTTGTTTGTCTTTTTTAAAAAAAATCATGCATTCGCTTTGCTATTTCTACTTGAAGCATTAAATATATCCCTACATGTCCCTCATTGTTCTCAAAATAGTTCACTTTTCATTCGGTTAGGGAAAATGTCAGTTCCAGTTTATCATAAGACAGACGCCTTAGTTCGCAAATTTTTATTTTCATTCTAATGATCCTCTGTGCTAAATTCGTACCGAACTTGAAACACGTTCATGTCCTTTTTATGTCGAAAGTTTCCATCAAAAGAGAAAATGACAATTTGAATTTCCTTTTCTCGTTGATAATATATTTTTTTAAGTTTTTATTTTGGAGCTGATTTATTGATTGCTCAATGCTTTGTATAGCTTTTAATTATTATTTAAATTTTGCCGCCAAAGCTGAGACTATTCCAACTACTTCAGCTGTCGATTAGTCAAAGAATTCAATATTTAAAATGTATATCAGTACATTGTTGTTTATGGCAAAGCGTAGAAAGCGTTTAATGACTCTTTAAACTCACATTCACATGCGATAAACAAGAGCAACAAGCCACAAAGACAGGCAATTAAATGTTGCAATTAAAACTGATGAGCACACAATTAGAACCACATATAGAACCAGAAGAACATAACCACAGCTACAGCAACAACAGGCACCACAGCCACTTGGAATTGGACCAAATGCAAGCTGATCCACCAACCGGACTGTGCGCACCTGGTAGTATCAACATTTTATTCACCTAAATAATGAGAAGCCGCAACAACAACAACAAAAACCACAACAAGAACATCAGCTAGTGTGGAACAGGCACAAGCCAATGGCCAAGGCAGTCAACCAAAGTCAAAGTCAGCTAAAGAACCCGATCCCGATCCAGCCGTGTCATTTCGTTTCTCTGTTTCTTCTTCTTCTTCTGCATCAACTATATGATCATATAGATGCGCTTTTATTGTGGCAAGCAGCAGCACCAGCAGCAACAGCAACAGCAACAATTCTGGACCGAAAGAGAAATGCAACAAGCAGCAACCAGCAAGCATCAAGCACCGTTGCAACAGCAGCCACCACAGCAGCAACAACCACAAGTTGGAGCAAGTTGTCTGCTCCATTTCGGTGTGGAATCGAAAATGCGACACGCATTGCATTGATTCGCAGTGGCGTTGACAACTGGCATGTGGCATGTGGGGCAACTGGACCAGAAAGGCCTTAAAGGGCAGCTGTGAAGGCGATAGATATAGAGCAGGCAATCGAATCGATCCGAAATTGTGATTGTCTCTTTATGTTTTGAAAACAAAACTATCTGTGGATCTCTGTATATTCATCTATGTATTTATATAAATAATTGTACATATATGTTCATACACCTATAGCCAGGATTATTGTAGATCTCAGCTGTCGAACATTGTAGATCCGTTGTCGTAAACTTTGCAGCTCTGTGTTGGTTGAGTTGAGTGTTACGTCTGAATTCGTTCTTAGAGAAGCGTATCGTGTAATTTGCTTAAAGAAAATAACTTAATAACTTATCATATTGGGTCTCATCTTGGTACCATTATTGATACACTTATTATAAATAAGATCCAAGTGGGAACAGCTACCCAGCAAGAAATGTATGACTTAAGAAGCTAGTCAGGTTATAGGTAGGACCACCAGTTAGTATTTGGAGTTTTCAGAGCAACAAGTGCAGTCGGGCTTATTTAACTGAAAAGCAAATATCAGTACTACCTATTGCAATAAAATATATTTTTATGTTATGTTATGTAGTAACATCCAGTAGGATGTGCTTGCTTTAGAGATGCTCATCTTTTATTTCTCTAACCAGCATAAAGTATTTTACATTAAATGTTTAAATATTTTGCAAATAGTCCGCCTAGCCTTTTTTAACAAAATCTAAGCCAGAAATACTTAAGCTTATTTGTCATGATGGATAATATTTCAAAGCTTTGCAGAAATGTCAATACCTTGTCAAATAGAAAAAGAATAAAGAATTGGCACGTACTCGCACGTTTATGATATTTATATAAAAAAAGTATATATTTGCAATGAAAATGAAATGCTCGTTAATACAAAGAATTAGAAAACAATTAGAAAACAAAACAATTAGATACTTGTAGAACCATAATCTATATAGAAAGTAAAGTACAAAATGATTTCAATACAGTATGTTTTTGAACAAACATTTAAAATCCATCTAATTGAAAACCTATGCACGAATTGTAAGTGATACTTTGAACAATTCTAGAACGATTTGTAGAATCTTGAAGTGGTAATCAATCTGATTGCCATCTTATAATCATAAATATTGGAAATCAATTTGAGTTCGATGCGCTGTAATGCCAATTGGATGGCCCTAAGAATTTAACTATTTATTAAGTTAGTCGCGCTGAGGGCAATCAAAAATTTAATGACAGACACACAAATGGTGGCAAGAACACGGTCGGCGATAGACAAGCAAATGATGAGCGATGGCCGTCATCAGCATCGACTAAATGTCGGGGGGGCATGGAGCGGGAGAAACGCTTGTGGGTCTTGTGAAGCACCAGCGTGCGATGTTGACGACGGCGCCAATTTAAAGCTGAAGCTATAGCTATAGCTATAGTTGAGGCTGGGGCTGGGGCTGAAGCTGCTTTGCTGGTTTGCTGCTTTACTGGCTGCTGTCCACAATGCTGGTTACCGATGGCTGGTCTCATCGTGGTCGCGGCTATTCGCATTTTGTAAGTCGAAGCGAACGGTGCTTTCGTTTCGAATCAGCTGCTGCATCGTCGCGTTACCGTTGCAAAGCTGACCGAC